TTTTTCCAGTACCTGCCAAAAAAATGTCATTGTTATTGCCCTTGGGACCTCTAATCAGTGGTACAGCTATATTCCAATCAAAAGGCTTTCAGGAAGCCTCATACAACTCATAGTAGCCTCGGAGGACTTCTGCAGTCTCCCTTGGGAGCTGTGAGGAAGCTGAGCCTAAAAACCACCCTGCAGATCCCACTCACACACCACAGCCCCAGCCACGTGCGCTGACATAATCCCAAGATTTGGTCAATTCTGCTTCCTCTCAGCTGACTATTAAGAATGTTTTTTTCATGCAGTCATTCCTGCTTGTCTGTCAGCTGAGGACATACCTGTCCCTGTAGGCCTGAGCCCAGTCATTCCCAAAAAATCTCCCAGTGGGCTGGCGCGTGTCTTTGTCCTCGTACTTGTACTTGCCGGTCAGCAGCCCCCCTGGGACGGAAGGGAGCAGCAGGTTTGGGGATGGGCTGGCTCTGCAGAGCCCCCATTCCTCAGAGCTTTGTCCCAAAGCCTGGCCTTGCCCCTGTACCTGCCAGCGGGTTGTAGGCATAGAAGCGGAGCCCAAAGTGCCTGAGGCAGGGGAACAGCTCGGCCTCCACCTGGCGCGTGGTCGCATTGTACATTCCCTGCAGGGGTGGGAGACAGCCTCAGACAGAGCTCAGGGCACAGCAGCTGCCTCTTCCCACCCTTCCCTGGCAATACCCATCCGAGAGAGCAGCTTCAGATCACACAAAGTTATGATTTGCTCAGAACTTGCTGAAGGACTGCAAATGAAGCTCCATGGCCAGGGAGTCGCTGGCTCCAGCAATGAACACACTGAGCTGTTTCTGAGCACTGACCTCACTCAGCTGCCTGAATTTCCTCACTGAAAGGGTGCTCAGGCCTTGGCAGGGGCTGCCCAGGGAGGTTTGGAGTCCCCATCCCTGAAAGTATCCAAAGAAGGCCTGGGCGTGGCACTCAGTGCTCTGGGGTGGGTGACAAGGCGGGTACCAAGCACAGATGGGACTGGGGGTCTTTTCCAACCTCAGTGACTGTAACTTCCCAGACTAACTGCAGCAGATTCCTTCTGTGTTTCTGTCTGGCACAGTGGGGCTGGGCCTAGATTTGGGGAGCCCAAATCCAAGCTCCCCCCCTCCCTCACCTGGTACACAGTTGGCATCACCCAGTTGTTGTACTTGCAGATGGCACAGATTTCTGCCACCTCCCACGCGGCGTAGTTTGACAAGCCAAGCTCTTTAAACTTCCCCTGCAGAGGAATAAAAGGGAATTTAGTTCCAGTGTTTCAAAGTTAATTTGGTCCCAAACACCCCAAGATGGATACAATGAAAAGGACGGTTACCAAATTTTAGTCCAGAAGGGTTAATTCCTGTCCACCTTTTCTGACGGACTATGAATTATTAAGACATGACAAAAATATTCCCCATTTTCTGTTCATTTGGAATTCACACCTTCTAGTTTAAATGATATAACCAGACAAACAAAACTCAGGAATTCTTTACCCATTACCAGCACTAATCTTAACCGAGACTGTTAACAGGGCTGGAAGCAAAGTTCAGATGTTCCAAGAGCTCTTGGGAACAAAGTACACCATGTGAGCACACAAAGAGCAATGGCTGCTCAGCTCTGCCCTGGGCTCTGTCTCCTCTTCACAGAGCTGCACAAACCCAGCGCTGCAGACGGGCAAAACAAGAGCCCTGGTTTTAAAAAAAAGCAGTGGTAAGGAGGGAAGAATCAAGGATTGTCCAGGACTCTGCACTTCACCTCTTTGTGCAGCTCGTTGCAGGCACGCAGGGTTTCCTCCACCGGGGTGCCGTGGTCAGGAGCATGGAGGTAGAAGAGCTCCACACTCTTCCTCTGCAGCCTCTCCAGGGACGTGTCCAGTTGGGAGCGCACGCTCTCGGGCTTCAGCGTCTTCCCATCCCACGGGTTGGCCTTGGTGGCCATTTCCACTGGCAAAGAGAGGAGGAATGAGCAAGGATGTTTCCACCTTGAGGAGGGGAGTGGGGACAAGTGACATAAGTGTTTGAGGCATCTCAGGGAAGGTGCCTGTCCTCAGGAATCCGTCAGCCTGGCAGGGGAGGCTCCTCTCTGCAGGGACTGAGGGTCTGCCCCAGGCAGTGAATATCTGCTCCTCAAGGTCTGGAGCTCAGCACTAGTGCAGGGCCCCTTCCCCTCAGGCATGGCACCAGCAGGGAGAACTCCTGTGCTAAGGGGATGGGCCTGGGGCAATTCTGATTTCCTTGAGGAGGGAGTCAGCTGGGCAGGGAAGATCCCTCTCCTCAGGGAATGGACTCTGGGGAGGGCTCTTGTCCCTGGGAACGGCCTCAGACTGGCAGGGAGACCCTTTCCTTCTGCAGAGTAGTGCCATCTCCTCAGGGAGGACATTGCCTCACAGGGAAGACCCTGCTCCTCGGGAAATGAGTCCTGGGCAAATCTCGTCTCCTCAAGAACAGTGTCAGCCTGGCAGAAGAGATGAGACCTCCTCAGGGACAACCCTCCTCAAGGAAGGACCCTCTCCCCAGGGCACAGCTCCAGCAAG